ACCAGGAGGATAACATTCAGAACATCAACATCAAAATGACCCATCTGCAGACATCGAAGTCTGTGACTTCTCAGGAGGAGACTGCTCTCATCACCAACAGGGATACTCTGAACAGAGAGAAGGAGGATCTCCTCAGACAGCTCAAAATGATAGAGTCTGAAAGACAGAACATCAGTATAACCTTCCAGCAGCAGTCCAAGCTGGTGAGTGAGAGAAACCTGACTGCACGGCAGAGGAGTCTTAAAACATCCTCTGAAGTGCAACGGCTGGAGAAAGAAATCCTGAGTGAAAAAGACAAAATACACCAGAGAGAAATACTCATCACTGAGTTGCTGAACAGCATTAAGAAAGATGACCAGTCTGAAACTCACACCAGAGAGACAAATCTTTCTACGAAGATCACCATCATGGATCCAGAAACTGGTAAAGACATGTCTCCCTATGATGCCTACGTGCAGGGGCTAATTGATCGCAACCATTACATTCACCTGTCACAGTTGGAGTGTGACTGGGAGGAAATCTCTAAAACAGGTCCAGATGGAGATACAACAATTCTGCAGGATCGCAAAAGTGGGAAGCAGTACTCAGTCAAGGATGCTCTCAGGGAGGGGCGCTTGACTCAGTATGAAGTGATGCGCTACAAGGAAGGGAAAATGAACATTACAGAGTTTGCCCTCCTTGTTGTAGGGGAAAGACAAATGCCTGACATACCTCCAGTAACAGCCCCAAAATCACCCATCAAACCCATGCCAGCCTCTCCTTTGAAAACCATGCCATCCTCCCTAAGGTCCTCCTACCCCAGCCTCAACACTCGCCATAGTGGCAGTTTGAACAACCTCAGTGCCTCAGCGGGCAGTTTGAACAACCTAAGTGCCTCAGCGGGTGATGAGCATTTCCCCATCTCCGGTATTTTTGACACCACCACTGACAGCCGCATGTCTGTGAGAAGCGCCCTGACCCGCAAACTCATAGATACTGACACAGCTCTGAAGCTGCTGGAGGCACAAGCAGCCTCTGGTGGAATCATTGATCTTGCCAAAAAGGACAAACTGTCTGTCCACAAGGCAGCTGAACATGGTTTAATTGACACGGTTCACATGTACAAGCTTCTGAATGCCCAGAAGGCCTTCACTGGAGTCGAGGATCCAGTGACCAAAGAGCGGCTCGCAGTGGGACCAGCTGCACAAAAAGGGTATATTCCCAAAGAAAATGCCAGGAGGTACATGGAGGCGCAGTACCTGACTGGTGGGTTGGTGGATCCCTCTAAAGCCGGCCGCCTCACTGTCCAAGAAGCTCTCGCCGCCAATCTGATTGACAGCACAACTGCTGATCATCTGCAAAATGAGGCTTCCCTCACAAAAGAGTTGGTAGACCCCATCACTAAAGAAAAGATCACATACAAGCAGGCAATGGATCGCTGTCAGAAAGACATCAGCACGGGGCTCCTGCTGCTTCCTGCAGCCTCCACTGATTCCTCAAATGCCCCTTCATACTCAAACTATCGGTTCAATTCCCCCTACAGCAATGTTTAGATGTGAAGTTTAAGATGTTTTATTTGCTGGAGCCACTTGGTGTAGTGGGTGTATGATAAAGCTAACTGATACACGTAAAGATAAAAATCGAATGTTCATACATTCAGTCAAAAAACTACACTTTTGGTGAAACTGTACATGTGGATCTGTTTTTTCAGTGCTAATTTTGGGTCTGCTGTAGAAATGAGGGTAATGTTTGTTTCATATGGTAAATTGTTTTTTCAGCACTCTAAAGCTAAATCCTTCATAAGTGTTTATTAAACTCTGCAAACCTCACTTTCTGTCTTGTTATTTAAAATACTGAGAGTTGAATTATAAGAACATATATATATAAATAGAGAACATTCATTTCATAGACTACACAAGGGGTATTCACACTACTTGTAACAATGTTGACGATCATATGACGATCTTCATTCTGACGTCAGCATAGTTTAAGAGATGTCAATTGGTCAGTCCACTGCTTTGGTCCAAACTGAAATATCTCAACAACTGATGGATAGATTTACATTTAATGTTGTACGGATCTTTATGGTTCCCAGAGAAAAAATCATAATGACTTTGGTAATCTCCTGACTTTTCCTCATGGTGGCACTATGAGGTTGACATGTATGGTTTTGAGGGAAAGTATTTCCTTGATTGTTGAGAAATTTAGTACACATCTTCATCCAATACCTTAATTTATGACCAGTTATCTGCAAAATTATCCTAATGACCCATGAGCCTCCGCTTCTGTTTAGTCCGTGGTTTAGTCATAATTTACAAATGTTACCATTTAAACACACTAAACTACAACAGTGAACATGGTAAACAATAAACCTGCTAAGATTCAGCATGTTAGCATACTGATGTTTAGCATGTTTAACATTTAGCTCAAAGCACTGCTGTTCCTATAAGTACAGAATCACAGAGCTTGGCTCTTAATATTAATATGGGGGATATACAATTTATGACACATATCTTCCCATTTCCAGAAATAGCTTGCTCGACAAGACAGTGAATCATCTGTTGTATCTAATACTTTATCTAATGGCAACACAGCTGTACTAAGTATGCAATGCTCTTAAGCCCCTGCGAGTCATATGCTTGGAAATCATGGATTAAGGATACAGATTAAACATGACTCACGTACGAGCACGCAGTGTGTTAAGGTTGGTGAGGTCACACTCAGGGTCTACATGGATGAAGCATGTGTCTAATAAAAGACTGCCGACTACAGACATTAACATGCCAACATTGTTGCATTAACATGCCACACAGTGGAGGTTAACAGTAAATGGCATTGATGTGGGAATATGTGGCCTGTGCTAGCATGTCTGCCTGCCAGATTACCTGATGACTGAAAGGACTTTGCGGGATTACTGCACATGAGCCTGTCTGGAGGCTGAAGTGGCCCCACTCTGGGTGTGAAGGATGTTCCCTGATGATTATCTCACTTAAAGAAGTTTGAAAACATGATGCTGTAATGATAAAACCAGCTTGCATTGTGTACTTTTTGCCTCATATTATATATATATAAGTTTTGACCGCAATGTGTACTGGCGGAAATCAAATTCTGGATTCTGGGATGTTTCTTCAGTTTCTATCATTGGAGTAGTGACCTACAGTGAGTGAATGCGTGATAACTACCTCTCTAATAAAAAGCCTGCTAAATGACAACATCACATACAGTACATGGAAACACAAATAGCACATTAGCACTGACTGGACCATTGCCTGAGTGATGTACATGGTAATTGGCAGCTCCTTTCTGTTTTGCTGGATTATTATTGTCATAATACTAGACTGCAGCTGATGGTTTAAGCTTTGACAATGAGCATTTACACATTTGTCTCTCATTCACCCTCTCTATAAACGCCGATAGCGAAGCCTCCTGTACGCCTGCCCTGCAATTATGCCAATGCCATATTAACTAGTATTTAAAGCACTCTTATTCAGTGAGCACTGTGCTGTATTTTCCCTCTTCATACAACAATATCAGGAGCAGTGACAATTTTCAGTGACGAAACGAGTCAGGCAGGCACTTTATTATTGCCACTGGAAATTGATGGTATCAATAGAAACATACATGAAGGCACATAAGAACAAAAAGTATGATAACCGTGATAGCCCACATAAGTCTGCATCTTGATACATGCACTGATCAACTCCTGACAATTCTGCAGTTAAATTTACCAATGTAAAGCAACTTCATTGCACACACAAAAAAACTTCCTCATTGCTCTTCATTGGTTGAAAAATAAACTCCAGTAAAGCTCAGACTTCTCTGACAGCCAACTAAAGAAGCAAAACCAGCTGGCTGCATCAGCTTGAAACCAATCAAGCTGCAAGCTATCTTCACTCTGCAGATTCCTGTTTGTAGGAGAAAATGCAATTTATTTCTTTATCATCAAACTTAACCTCCACAAAGTCCACGTGACCAGTGACATTTACAAAGCCAGTTTTAACCCGAAAGAGTTTAGATTCCTGAGAGAAAACATAGTTCATGTGTGCTTTATTTCTGCATGTAACAGAGGTACTGATCAAATCTCAAATACCCCGATCAATACCCCACCCAGTGATCCTCGTCTGACGGTGGATGTTAATGTGTAAAATGAATGAATAAGAGAAAGTAGCACTGATCTGGTGCTACTGGTGTATCTTAATGTAAATGTAAGCTACTGTACTGACAGATTTTACATTTGTCAGTCTCTTACTTTAGCTACATTAGAAACAACACATAAAATATACAATATTTTGTCAGTTAATTTTTCACTTGCAGTGGAGACTTTCCCTAGGTGGGCTACATACTTTATTGTGTCAGAGGCTTTTTCCTCAGGGGCAGGGGGAACAATACATATTTTTGTCTTTGCCACCATATATTAGCTGCTGCTAATATAAAAGTATTTGCATCACACTCCAAACATCTTAACCCTCCTCATTGTGTGCTGGTGCTAATTGGAGTCCTGGGTCATGGTCCAGGTGACCCCTAAGTACCGAGTTTGTCCTTCAGAGCAGCGGGAGCTGCTCACCCTGGCACGTTAGTGGATTAGACGTGAGTCGGTGACTGTGTCATGGATTAAAGCTCCATTCAAGAGCATAAGGGTTCCCACTGACTGGCCCGAGTGTCCAGAGGCACAGTTCAGAGAGAGCTGAAGATACTGGCATAGACAGACAGTGTAGTGACATTATACCACAGAAAGGCTAGGAGCCTCTCATTCTAAATAACAGTGATAATAAAATGTTTAAGGGAATGTTTCATTGAATGAACTTGTCAACCAGTGTGGGTACAAGACTTTTATTTTGTGTTAGCTTGTGGAAAAATGTTTAATATGTCTTTGAGAGAACAAACCAAATCAAAAACATGAATTATTCATCTTAAAAAATAGTATAAAACATTTTATTGAAAGTGTAATACCGAAACAGACACAAATATGAAACAAAACATCACAATACAAAGTCTGGATTCACAGACTCAAACATCTCATCACCAAAATCTACATGTTGGTTTAAGTTAGGTCATTGGATCTGCAGACTAAATGATGAGTGGATCCCCTTCTAAATCCTCCAGCGTTTACAACAGCTAAAGCCCCCTAATAGAGCTGTAGAAGCTGTGGTTGAGCGGCTAAAGCCTGGTCGCTGACGTCAGTCCATAGTTGTGGGAAGCCCAGAAAGGTGCTAAGCAGGAGATACAGCAACAAATCCAAAGGTCTACCACGTATGCAACACACCATCAAAGTAACTCCACTTAGAGTTGTAATAGTTCAACACACTACTCTAGTCCTCTCACAGGACAGAGTCTAACAAATTGAACTTGAGTACATATAATAATTCACATTACAGTATAGTACATTCTTGTTTTTATTGTACACAATAAATCATTTCACACAAGATTGATTGACGAGCTTCAGTATGAGATTAGAAGAAAAAAAGTCCAACAGAACAGAGTAAGCAGCCACTGAAAACTGAAAAAAACAACCTCTGACATGTCCTACAAAGAGTACAACACTGATTTTAACTGAAAGACAACCTGTGCAGACATCTCATCTCACTGACATGTCATACATCAACGTGTTCACCAGTCTTTGTCAATGGCAGAGTCAAGGGATGCTGAGGGAAACGGATTGCTTCACTGTTGCGCCGCATGTACGCGTGGCCGCTGATGGGGTACCACATCTCTGTGAAGGTAAGGTTGGCCACGGTGATGGCACAGCGCCCCAGCACCTTGAAGCCTGACTTGCGGTAAAAGGGAATGAGGAAGTCTTCGCACATCAGCACTGCTCGGCGCACGTTGGGAAGGCAGCGGAGATACTGCAGGTAACGCCACATCAGGATGGGACCTTTGCCCTGCTGCCTGAAGGTGCGATGGACAGCGAGGACGTGGATGTGGACGGTTGAGCCGCAGGGCTTGTGGAGAGTCAGTGCGTCCTGTGGTGGTCAGAGATCATAATTACTGATCCTTACAGAACACACATTCGTTTTGAAGAGTTACATGATGAATTGAAAAGGTGCAGGGTGTCTTACTGTAGTGAGTCTGTCCTGGTCCCAGAGAGAGCCGATGATAAAAGCCACCAGCCGGCCCTCCTCAAACCAGCCCATGGACAGCTCTGGACACAGTGTGAGGAAATGACGCACCTCATCCAGGTGGAGGGGACACTCACCTGACACTGAAATAAAAGCTGAGAGAGAGAGAGAGAGA